TACTCGTGTTATTAGGGCACGAAGCGGGGATAGAGAGAAAGGGCTGGAAGACCGTGAAATGGGAGTTCTCGTAGAAGGGGGGATGTTTTAAGTGGGTTTTCGTTCTTTTTAACGAATTTTTACAACCTTGGCAAGAGGATGCTGTGATAGGACCTCGAATATCCTTCCTGGAACGACATTTATCTCCAAATAATGAGCTCAAATAGGCCGAGAAGAGAGAGGGAAATGAAGTCCTGATAATGAGGCTCCGTGGTTATTTTTACCGTATATCTTACAAGTATTTTTTTTTCTTCTTCAAAACCCATTATTTCTCTTTCTCTCTCTCTTTCTCCTCTTATTTAGCCAGATTTACGTTTTCTAAGCATACGTGATTTTTCGAAAGGCGAATGTGTGTCTTTGTCATTTGAATCTGATTGTCAGGTGTAATGAGAGAGGGAATTGATTTAAATTTTAAAGTTGTTGTGTTATAAACCTTTCTTAAAAATCGGTTTAGGTGTCTGTGAATCGTCTTGGTATTTCTCCACAACCTCTTGTTTCATTTAAAAGTAATTTCGTATATATGTATGTGAATGGACTCTGTTATTCATTGTATTGCACATGTCATTTTTTTGTTTATGTATCAGTCTGACACAATGTTTGACAGTTGGTTCATCTCGAGAATATAATTCTCCGATGAAACGTGTATCGTATACCATAAGATATACGATGTGCTAAGTTATATTACACAAGACGTGTTACATACATCCTTGATACATTCTTGAAGAGGAGGTTTAAACTAGACACATCCTGTGTGGAAGGATGACAGTGAGCAGGATATTTTCTGCATCCCAGCATCGCTAACTGTTTATGTATGGATGTACGTAGAGATCGATATAGTTAGATATATTTGTGTATAGGTATTTGGATGGTACATATAGAAAAATGCATTATCTTCTGTCAGATCTTGGGTTTATTCACATTTCGGATACCGTGTGTGTGTTTATATTTGTTTTTCTTTACTGTTTATATGTTTATCTCATGTGTGGTAGATGCTTGACCTTCCTGCTCGGAGCGAAAGATTTTCCGACGGGGGTTCACTGGGGATTTCTATTTTTAGGGCAGGTTGGAAAATTAAGTCTTTTAGATTTCATAAAAACGTGATGTTCAGGATGAAGAATATATTCATAGCACATTTATATGTGTATGAGAATGTTTGTAGATGTGTATATAAATATGAGAATGTTTGTAGATATGTATATCTAAATGAGAATGTTTATATGTGTGTATATAAATATGAGAATGTTTGTAGATATGTATATCTAAATGAGAATGTTTATACGTGTGTATATTTATATGAGAATGTTTGAATGTATGTTTATTTTTATGAGAATGTTTGAATGTGTTTATATATATAAGAATGTTTGAATGTGTGTTTATTTATATAAGAATGTTTTAATGTGTGTTTATTTATATGAATGTTTAATGTGTGTTTATTTATATGAGAATGTTTGTGTATATATTTATAAGAATGTCTGTCTGTATGTATAACTATACCAGTGTGCATGGGTGAAACTGCATTATTATATATATTTGCATGTGTTTGTAGATGTCCATGTTTATAGGAAAGGGATTTATGTGTGTAACTATGTTCTCGTGTCTGTAGGTGTGTATATATAGATTGCTTTGGTTATCTCTCAAGTGATGAAGAATTAAATGCAGAAACGAAAATAGCGATGCCAGCCCGTTGCTAGTCAGTTGGCGAGGAAGGTTAATTTTGACTCAATTTGAATCTGAGCCTCGCATAGAATATTAATTATTTGGCTTTTTTTTTTTTTTTTTTTTTTTTTTTTTTTTTTTTCAATTATATTTATCTCCCCTCCCCCTTTTTATTATCATTCTTGTTATTATTATTATTTTCTCCATCTTTGTAGAATGTTTTATCATGTATATTTGTATATACATATTTGTTTATTGGTAATTTTTTGTTGTGCACATTTAAAAGGACTATATTGATGTATTAATCTTTTGTAGAGTGGCAGAATTGGGTGGGTTGTTGAGTGGCAGAATTGGGTTGATGGCTGAGTGGCAGAATTGGGTTGATGGTTGAGTGGCAGAATTGGGTTGATGGTTGAGTGGCAGAATTGGGTTGATGGCTGAGTGGCAGAATTGGGTTGATGCAGAATTGGGTTGATGGTTGAGTGGGCAGAATTGGGTGATGGTTTGATGGCAGAATTGGGTTGATGGCTGAGTGGCAGAATTGGGTGTGGTTGATGCAGAATTGGGTTGATGGGTTGAGTTGGCAGAATTGGGGTTGATGGCAGTGGGTTGAATGGCTGAGTGGCAGAATTGGGTTGATGTGAGTGCAGAATTGGGTTGATGGTTGAATGTGCAGAGGGTTTGATGGTTGAATGGCAGAATTGATGGTTGAATGGCTGATTGAATGGCAGAATTGGGTTGATGGCAGAATGGGTTGATGAGCAGAATTGGGTTGATGGCTGAGTGGCAGAATTGGTTGAGTTGGCAGAATTGGGTGATGGTTGAGTGGCAGAATTGATGGCTGAGTGGCAGAATTGGGTTGATGGCTTGGCAGAATTGGGTTGGATGGCTGAGTGGCAGAATTGGGTTGATGGCTGAGTGGCAGAATTGGGTGGATGGCTGAGTGGCAGAATTGGGTTGGTTGATGGCAGAATTGGTTGATGGTTGAGTGGTTTGGGTTTGATGGTTGAGTGGCAGAATTGGGTTGATGGTGCAGAATTGGGTTGATGGCTGAGCAGAATTGGGTTGGTGGCTGAGTGGCAGAATTGGTTGATGGCTGAGTGGCAGAATTGGTTTGGGCTGAGTGGCTGATTGGGTGATGTTTGAGTGGCAGAATTGGGTTGAGTGGCAAGAATTGGGTTGATGGCTGAGTGGCAGAAATTGGGTTGATGATGGTCTGAGTGCAGAATGGCTGAAGTGGAATTGGGTTGATGGCTGAGTGGCGAATTGGGTTGGTGGTTGAGTGGCAGAATTGGCTATGGGTTGGTGGCTGAGTGGCAGAAATTGGGTTGATGGTTGAGTGGCAGAATTGGGTTTGTGGCTGAGTGGCAGAATTGGGTTGGTGGCTGAGTGGCAGAATTGGGTTTGATGGCTTTGAGTGGCAGAATTGGGTTGATGGCTGAGTGGCAGAATTGGGTGGATGGCTGAGTGGCAGAATTGGGTTGATGGCTGAGTGGCAGAATTGGGTTGGTGCTGAGTGGCAGAATTGGGTTGGTGGCTGAGTGGTTGGGATTGGTGGGCTGAGTGGCAGAATTGGGTTGGTGGCTGAGTGGCAAGAATGGGTTGGTGAGTGGCAGAATTGGGTTGATGGCTGAGTGGCAGAATTGGGGTGTGGCTGAGTGGCAGAATTGGGTTGATGGCTGAGTGGCAGAATTGGGGTTGATGGTTGATGGCAGAATTGGTTGATGTGCTGAGTGGCAGAATTGGGTTGATGGTTGAGTGGCAGAATTGGGGCTGATGGGTTGAGTGCAGAATTGGGTTGATGGCTGAGTGGCAGAATTTGAGGTTGAGTGGCAGAATGGTTGTGCTTGGCAGAATGGTTGATGGTTGAGTGGCAGAATTGGGTTGAAGAGAGGTTTGATGGCTGAGTGGCAGAATTGGTTGATGGCCAGAATTGGGTGATGGCTGAGTGCCAGAATTGGGTTTTGATGGCTGAGTGGCAGAAATTGGGTTGATGGCTGAGTGGCAGAATTTGGGTTGATGGCTGAGTGGCAGAATTGGTTGATGGCTGAGTGGCAGAATTGGGTGGGCTGTGATGGCTGAGTGGCAGAATTGGGTTGATGGCTGAGTGGGCTGAGAGAATTGGGGTTGAGTGGGTTGAGTGCAGAATTGATGGTTGAGTGCAGAATGGGTGGATGGCGCAGAGATGGCTGGGTTGATGTTGGTTGGCAGAATTGGGTTGATGGTTGCTGGCAGAACCTGAGTGGCAGAATGGGTTGATGGTGAGTGCAGAATGGGTTGATGGCTGAGTGGAGAATTGGGTTGGTGGCTGAGTGGCAGAATTGGGTTGATGGCTGAGTGGAGAATTGGGTGATGGCTGAGTGGCAGAATTGGGTTGATGGCAGTGAGTTGGGTGGAAGAAATTGGGTGATGGCTGAGTGCAGATTGGGTTGATGGTTGAGCAGAATTGGGTTGATGGTTGAGTGGCAAGTGGGCAGATGCTCGGATGACCCTGCAAACAGTTGTGTGTGTTAATGCTTGAGGTAGTGCATTCTTGTTTGTGTGTGTGTGTGTGTGTGCGTTGTGCGCACATCTGTGCTTTCATATATTCTCATGAATAAGTGAGAGTGAATAAGTTAATATAACTGACATATTATATATACATTTTGACAAAGATAAATTAAGGAGGTTGCATGGAATGTATGCAAGAAATTATTTTCTGAAGATCAGTATCATTGTTGTCGAGAGCTGTCATGGGCATTCGGCCTTGGGAGAGGATTGATATAAGCTTCTGTCTTCTGCTTCTATTCTTTATATTCCATATATATAAAGATGAAGCATGATATGAACAAAATGATAGGCTGTTTCTTGGGAATGCTGAGGAGATTACAGTTATTTTACTATTAATTCTTAGAAGGATTCAGAATGACAGTTTGAAAGTTGGACGTAATGTATAATTCCAGTGATTTATTAGGTTTTTAATTTATGATTATAATCGTAGCAATAATGATAATTTACAGTTATTATTATTGTTGTGTTGTTTGTTGTTGTTGTTGTTGTTATCATCATCATCATCATTCATCATCATCTCATCACATCATCACTATCTATTTATCATTTATTATTTTGATTCATTATTTTTATATAATATATATATATTAGTCTATATATATATATATAGCTATATATATATATAGCTGTATATATATTGTTTGTATATATATAATATATATTATATACTTTTTTTTTTTTTTTTTTTTTTTTTTTTTTTCAGTGTAAGGAAAACAACCAAATTTTCATGCATCAGTAAAGTTTAGTAAAGTTTT